CAGCAATAGGACAAGAGAGAAACAGAAGTGATACTAAAAGGAGCTTTGAACTTAAAGAGGGGGGATTTAGGTCAGAAGTTAAGGAGAAATTTACTCAGAGGGTGGTGAGGCACTGGAATGCACTGTCCAGAGAAGCTGTGGATTTCCCATCCCTGGAGAAGCTCAAAGTGCAGATTCAATCTCACCCTGGACTGTCAGTCTAGCCTCATTACCAGAGCTCATTAATCAGACAGGAAACTTGCAGGTGCATTCCCAAAGCGACTGCTGAAAACTGAGAAAATACACTTCAGCCTTTCATGCCTCTGATACTGTTGGTGATACTTTAGTTCACAGAATCACAGAATAGTTCTCCACCCTTCATTTTAAAGAAGCTCTACCTCCAGACACTATTAAAAAAAGTTACCTCTCCTATTATACCATGTAAACTCTTAATGAAATGTTGAGAAAAATATATGAACACAGGCATCTTTTTGGATGTAAAGCACCAAGCTCCTCCACGTTTAAAGCACACCAAATAGCAGTTTTTGTCCCACAGTGACTTACTGCATACAGCTAACATACGTCAGAAAGCACAAAGCAAGTCTGAGATTTCTACCTACACTAGATCAGAAGAAGCTAAACTTTTCTTAATGTTTTTATTACACATCAGCATCTCAGAAGGCTGGATGAGTTATTTCTCAAGGGAAAAAACACAGACACAGGAAAGGTAAAAGGCTGTGTTTGTTTTCATGTGAGTGCTGGTACACCTGGGTATCCATTTTAAAGCTCAAAGTCATAACAAGACAAGAAATCCAAATATCAGCCAGTATGGAGAAACGACTGACATACTGTGTGCAAACTGATTATTTTGCATTGCAGAGTGATGTCCATAGTCCATCACTGTACCTTTCCATAACTAACAGCACACTGAAAGTTTCATACAGATAGATCTAAAAGATGACAGTGCTGAACTGAAAAATCCACGTGAAGTTTCAGAAGAAATGTTGTGAAGATAATGGACAAAACAGACATCAAAGCAACTTGAGCAGAAGAAAAAGAAGTGTGATATGTGTAACTGATGAATTTTCTCTGCAAATCAGATAAATTAAAAAAAAAAAAATAAATAAAAGAGTCCTGCACAAAGAAAGTACAGTATAATGCAGTCTTTGCAATAGAGATGAAATAAAATATGAAAGTTCATGCAAATCAATATGCACAGGCTGCCTGGCAGCCTGGTCTTGTGGTTGGCTTTCCTGCACATAGCAGAGCGGTTGAAACTAAGTGATCATTGTGGTCCTTATCAACCCAGGCCATTCTATGATTCTATGAAATACCTTCATAGCAGCGATACTGTTAACTAAAAAAGGAATTAACATTAACACAGAATTGCATTTGGATCAGGACATCAGGTCAACTGAAAACAAACAAATAAAAAAAAAGGTTAAAAAAAAAATACCCAGACAACAACAAGAGGATGAAATTAATGGACTCTGGACTTTCAGATGAATAAAAAGAAGTGAGATGCTTAGGAACAGAGTCGCATTTGGAAATACAAGGACATGGTTCAAAAAAGGAGTAGTAAAAATCAAACATCTTCTGGGGTCCTGCAAGGAAAAGTAGGGTATATCAGAAGGTCATCTCAATTGCTGCTATAGAGATTAAGATGTACAGCTTGGAGACAGAGAACTTACAGAAGCAGTAATTTGGTTTTAATACATTGAGAAAATAAGAATGCAATTACCTATAGGAACAGACAATGTTTTGTGCCACAAATGTGTTTTTTGTACTGTGTCTAACTTATTAGAGAACTAGCCTCCCACTCGAGCCCTGTTTCACTCACAAAGGTTAAATTTCCTCTGGAGAATACGGACTTATTACAGTTTAGCTGCCAGCTGCCACAACCTAAGCAACATGAGCTAGAGGGATTTTTTTTATAGTTTTTATCACGACTGCCACAAGGGAATGTTTTCCCACCTTCTTCCAGAGGCAATTCAAAGTAAACACTATAGAAGCTTGATACTATATCACTGGTAAAGTAGCTAAGGCTAGGAAACATCTGCATGATCTATGAAAAGAAAATCAAGGATTTTTATTTTTTTTTTAAGTGTGCATACATATGTTAGTCATGTTTCCATTCAAGCACTGTGCAAATTATTATATTTAAACACATTTTACAAACAAAACAGGTACAGAGCATAAAATTCTTAATATGCCATCACATAAACTAGCATCACGGAAGTGACACATTAGAAATTGCATTTTTAGTTCTGATGTCAAACCTTCCTCCACCCAAAACACAAAACTACTAAGAAGACAGACAGCAAGTACTGCATAACTATGGGACCAGTGAGATATAGATTTAAGTATCACCTTAAGTACTATAAGAGAAAATACAGCAGCATATCACAGAACGGCCAGGGTTGGAAGGGATCTCAAGGATCATGAATCTCCAATCCCCCTGCCACATGCAGGGCCACCAACCTCCCCATTTAATACCAGACCAGGCTGCCCAGGGCCCCATCCAACCTGGCCTTGAATACCTACCTCTAGGGACGAGGCATAATCACATGAAGTTAAATCTCTTAGCAGCACTACGCTTAATTCCACAAATAAATACGGCCTATAACATTACTCAGACTTTTTCATCCATCTGTATTTTGAAAGCAGTTGTGTTGCTGATCCTCACTCTTACTGGAAGGCTTCTTCAAAGACACCTGCTAATGCCCCAGGTATTTCCAAATTTCCTGCCTTGTGAAATTTGAGTTAATTCAAGGCCAAGTGATACTTTATTGCACTTCTGACATTTCAACAAAACTTAAGACAGTTACATGAACGTTCCACTTAGTTCTATTTCAGACCTAATCTACCCATAACATTACCGTCAGCATCTCCTAACGTAGAAACCTCGAAGCAGATTACTGCATTCATATTCAGGCATTGCACAGAGTTCAAGATGCACTGTAAACTTCGTGGTTTCAGAGCTGTGAGCAATGGTGTGGCAAAGAGCCTCATCCTCACCCACAAGTAGTTGTGAAAGTGAGTACCAGCAAACTGCCTCAAGGTTGAGGTTTCCATGTCTCACAGTCTCAATTACCAGTCGGCTCAAAACTACAGAATGCTCCATGCCTGCTATAAAAATTCTGCTTCTCTCAGTGGTCTTTTATTCACCTGGGAGTCACCATCCATCACCTCTTTCTTCAGTTCCACTTATGAAAATGGCATCAGCCTCAAGCCTCAATTTTTACTCTTATCCAAAAGATTTTATCGAGTAGTAGCTGAAACTAGCAAAAGATTTGTCTAACTTTAAGAGGTCACATCTTAGGAGCCTGCCTAACACATTACTCATACTGCTACACCCCTCACTGACAACAGCAAATAAAGAATTCCCTGTGCAATTACACAAACCAGACAGCTCTTAATAATTTTTAAAAATATTTGATTTTACTTAGTCTGAAAATAAAAATCTACAGAATGCTTTCATGCTTATTCCCTGATAAAACCATTTTGAAAACATCATCCAATCTTTGAAGCAATATTTAAAATAACAACAGAACTGCTTGAGTCTCTGTAGTATTCAAAATTGTACAAGAAATGCATGTTCTTTACACATTATCATTGGAAATATGTTTTCAGCTTACTTAATACTGCAGATGAACGAGTAGCCCCACTCCAAGGAAAAAACATAATGCAGAGACTATTGCCCATGCCAGGAATTGAAAAAGGATAAAACGAAAAGCAACCACCCACTTCAGTTATCACTGTATATCATCTCTTTCATGCCTAAACAGCACTTGAAATCTTTTTCTCTCAATTCATCACGTGATAGATAAGCTAATCCTATGTAGTTCATCCCTCAACGAATATTGTCCTCCGTGTTACTGCTATACTGAAGGAGAAACAGACTGCTTCAGCACCACCTTCATCACACTCCATCCATCAACAGGGCTCAGAACCGAGTGACAGCGCTCAAACCCTCAGTAGGAGCATCTCCTCTACCTGCTGCAGTGCAGTGTCTGTGGAAGCAGACCTCCTTCTCCTCAGTCAGGCACGACCTGCTGTGCTGAGAGAACCTCGTGCACACAAGGCTTTCCCTGTCTAACCCACCAACACAACGCTAAGCAATTTATTAACTCAGATTTGGTGTAGCACTGCCGGAGGGGCAGCTCTCTCCGAAACACCTTCTGCTTGCACGTTTCCAGGATGACTCCTCTACCCTCCTGCACTCTGTAGAGCCATCGGGTCAGCTGATGCACCTGTAACAGATCCAGCACCCTCAGACTGATGCTTCTGTGCACAGCAGCAGAAGGTGATGTTCCAAACACACACACAGACGACCGCACGCTCCACAGCAATCCCCACCAGGCACTTCAACTCCACCCCGGCCTCTGCAATAGGACCACCGATTCCTGAGACCCGCCCTGATCCATTCAAAGGACCTCTCCGGAGTCGCCTAGGCCACGTCTCGCCTCCGCCTGAGCTCCATAGCAGAGGAAGGCCGGGACGGAGCGCCGGACCCCCACCCCCCATCCGCCGCTACCCATCCAGACAACGCAGCCCCACTCACCTCGCTTAGAGCCGGGGCCGGGAGTGCCGCCGGTGCCCTTGGAGCCCTTGCGGGAGGCCATGGCGCCTCCTGTCAGGTAACGTGGGGCGGGGCTAGACCGGGAATGAGTCAGGAGCCGCCGCCGCCCGAGCGCTGCGTGCGGGAGCGCCGGCAGCCTCCGCGGCCAAGCGCCGGGCACGCCCCCTTCCCTCCCGCCCGCAGCCTCCAGCCAATGGCGGAGCGCACAGGGCGACGGGGCGTGCCCTCTCTCTGCGCCGATTGGCTGCGAGGCGGAGGGGTCGGGCAGAGCGGTTGCGTGAGGGCTGCGCGTGTCCGCCACGCTCCCCGTCGCCGGCGGCTTTGAACGTGGCAACATGGAAGCGGGGCGGCCTCTCGCGAGGCTTCGCTGGGAGCGCGCGGAGCTGAGGGCGGGGTCTTACTTTGAGGGGTGGGGGTGGCGGGGTCTTGCGTGGCTGCGGTGGTTGAGCGTTGTGCTTTGCATTCTTCGGGTGTTTGTACCCCACTCTGCCGGCCGCTAAATGCCCGAATTGTGGGCAATATCTTGTTAAAAGCATGAATTATTAAGTGGTTAAGCGTGCAGGTAGCACCTCTTCAGCTCAACTGGGAAAGCAGTTTGGCACATTACATCTACGAGTAAGTTCTCAAACAGGCTTACGAGCCTTTGGAGTGTTTCAGTCTGTCATAAGCGAGCCTTTTTTTTTTTCCACAGAAATTCAGGTTGTTTCTTGTTACTCAGTGGTTTGGTGTAATGGTAAATTGCATCTGAAATGAAAGCAAACTCACCTTTGAGCCCTGAGTGTAAACATGGTGTTTTAGCCTGAAGCAATAAATTACCGAGCAGAGTTAATTGGTTATTCTCTATGAGATTGAACGTAGATGCTTCATCCTGTGGCAGAATGGCAGCATGGTCCTTTAGGAGTAAAGGTGATTCCACAAGCATCAATGTGAAGCCTGTTCCGTGGTGTCATTTTCTCTAAAAAAGCCAAAACCTTGTTTTTCACACTGTGTGGAAGGAACTGATGTTTTGGAGACGTGCTCCTTTCATCTGGCAAGGCTGGAACTGGCAAACAAATTCAGAATGTTCAGGAGGAGCAGACAGAACCCCCTAGCATGTACAGTTTGTCACAGATATGCTATTGGGGACAACAGCTATCATTCCAACAGCTGGCAATATACAATGCAAGGAAAAAAAAATCGTTCTAAAGACAGCGATTGGAAATTGACAATTTTTCATTGTGCTTATTTAAAAAGATAATAGGAAAAAAAAAAACTAAACTGCATGCATGACTATTCTCATATGTGGTGGATACTATCAAAAAGGAAGGCAGTTTCCTGTGATTAGTGTGGGATGCAGCTTCCTGGAGCTGTGCTATAGGAACTGGCCTTCTGTTAAGAGATATGAAGAACGAGTAAGCAATTAGGTGAGTTATTTACTGCGGAACAAACTTGTAACTGTAAATAAGCTGTAAAATTCCTACTTCTGTTTTAGTGGTATGCAGATGCCAGCATTTAGGTGCTGGCGTAGTCAGTGTCTGCTTGTGCTCTCCTCCATCCAGGTAGGCTCTTGCAGAAGAATTAAAGCATACATACCAAGGTTCGACTATTTAGAGCTACTCTGTATCTTTGTTCTGATCTCCAGCATTCTGCATCACATTGTGTTTCAAAGGTTTCTGGTGACTTCCTGTAGCATCAGAAAGCCAATGCTCAGATAACTCTAAACAAATGTCAAAGGTATGAGGAGATGCAATCTTGCTGAGATGAGAGAAACTTTCCTTGTATTCTTGCCTAATTCTGATCACATACTTTAAATCTGATTGTGAAGCATGGCTGTAGAATAAACAGCCTTTCAGGTCAAGTTAGCAGAAAACATTAGTGCTGGTTTCCCTGTTGTGGAAGCATGTGGTCCATATTTTGCTATTGGAGATGCTTGGGACAGCTTGGTATGGCTTATTCTTGAGTCAGAAATGCTTGATTTAAATGTGTTGGAGTGACTGTTGCAAGAAATAGCATGGTAGTCCCTCTGTTTCTACATTTCAGTTGCAATGTAACACGTTAGATCAAGTTTTAAATGTAATTTTAGGATAGGTAATGGAGTGAAAAGCAAACTGAATGCAGGTATGTGAATGTGTGTGGGTCTGGCTTGTCTCAGCTTTCAATCTGCTTATTTCTTTTAAAGCTAAATTTTGGTAGTTTGGTTGATGGTGATAGAATACAGTAATCCACAGGAAGATAAATATTGTATTTGTAGGAGGAAATAAGACACTAAAACAATGAAACAATGAGGAAGTTTATAAAGCAAAGGTGAAAAGAAGAGAAGAGAAAAAGCCGGAGAAAAAAAATTAGAATAAAACCAGAAATTAAGTAATGAAGGCAGCTGCAGTGAGTTGGAGTTTCTCCAATTGGATCATTTAAAGCAAAAAAATAAAAAACCTTTCCTGTTGACAAGAACTGCATTTACCTCAAATACAAAATGTCTTAATAGGCTGCTGATTGAGACTACAGATAAAGAAAAGTTATTCTGCATAACATAAATTATAGTATTGCTTTTACTTTGCATTTACTTTCCATAAGTACTTCTGCATTAATGCTGTCACAGCTGTTTTGAGGCTGAATTCCTTTAACAGAGCAGTGACTCTGCAGTTTGATGGAAAGAAGCACATCCGAGGTGATAAGTAGAAGCAGCAATGAAATAATTACATAGAGGAGGACTCTATCTCTAATTTCCAAATTTCTAAAAGAAGCAGAAATATACAACTGGCCTGCAGCAGGGAGAAGAGATGCTAAAAGATGAGGCATGATGAATTTGAAAAACCACAAAAAACAAATGTGACACCTGCTCAAAACAAACATTAATTTAGCCCAGCATTTTTCTCTTCTCACAGATACAGAAAAAAAAAAAAAAAAAAAATTAAATTGACCATCATCTGTACCAAACTTGCTGTAGTTTGCTGATTTTTCACTCACATGCTATATTGGTAGTTTTATTTCCATTCATGATTTCTATCAAATTCTTATAAAAAGCCCTGAACGTATCATAAAGGTATCTGTTACTCTTTTACAAGGCCATTATGTGTCATTATGAAAAAAAGTAAACAGACGTTAATTGAAGGCTTAGACAACATGCCTTTATTCTGTTGGTGATTCTGAGCTATGTTATGTAAATGTTTTCCATTCAAACTGAGTTACAGTTGTCCACTGAACTATGTACATTTCTCATAATTAGTTCAGTTTCAATTAATCATTAAGGGAAAGGCAATTTTCCAGCTAGAGGAAACAAGCGTATTTATTACAGTGCATTGCAGTATGAAGAACTGGAGAATTCTCAAATAGGAAATTCTCAGGATGGATGTATTAAAAAAATGAAAATTAAAATAAAATAATAATAATAATAAAAATAAATAAAAAATATGTTAAAAAATCCCTGATACCGTCTGAGATTTTTGATAGTAGATGTTGGCATTTTTCCTAACTGGTAAGTTAACTGAGCACCCTGCTAGACAATTGATGTTTCTGGCAGCTGACTTTTAGATCAAAGAGGGTGATGCACAAGTTTTGGTGTTTGTTTTCTGGTTTATCAAGTAATCTGCTGATCATCTTTCTGGTTTCTAATGCTGCAGGAAATGCAGAGAACCAACACCCACTTCTCTGTATTTATCTGTCAGTATTCACTAACCTCTTATAGACAAACAGAGACAGAAGTTTTGGGAAGAAGGGGAGGAAAGGGACAATTGAGTGTCTCAGTTACCTGAGCATCAACAACTATGCTGACTGGAGTGATCTTCCACCAGGTAAGCCTGTAAGCAAAGGAGGATATATTTGAGTTGGTAATTCTCAAGGAGGGATTTTCCTTTTTTTTTTCTTTTTAAATATTGTTTTTATTATAGAAGGCAACTACCTTGGAATGTTTTCTAAATAGGGACAGTGAAAATGGAATGTAGCCCTTTATTGAAGGGCAGTTCGGAAGGAATAATTATCCAAAATGTAGGAAGTTGAGCCAGGTGAAACATGTCTAATTCAAGCAAAGCTAAAGTTGAAGCAAAGTTTATTTTAAACTTGGTAAGGTTAAATGCAGACCTTTTTAAAGTCTGGGTCAAAAGCCTGTTTTTGCTCTCAGAAAAAAAGCATTGCCCCTCACAATGAGTAACAAAAACAGAATTTGACTTTTGGGTCAGTGCTGTGGCTTGACAATCTGGAATTTATAGCTATCTTGCTTGGCTCCTGAGAATCTTCCTGCAGATTTTGTCAGGTCTAATTTATCTAAATTCCCTGTGAGTATAATTATAGCTGAGAATTTCTCAGATTTCTCAGAACAAGTTTTTGAACTTGAAATTTAATCAAATCCTTTTGTTACATCAGTGTGTACCAACATGTGGATTTTATTCCTGTAGCATGAGAAGCTGAGAAGGGCAAAAGTTTCTTTGTATGCCTGTAAAAGTTACCTACGATATATGTTTTCAAAATTATCATCAGAAACTGGCCTTGAAAGAGCCTTAAGCTAGAAATAGTGCTTTTCAGATGGATTGTGAGCAACTGATAAATCTAACAGTGCTAAACACAGGTTATTCAGGTGTAAATACTAAAACAAACCAGCATTAGTATTAGAGAATCTTGGATAACAAACAAAATCACTATTGCAGTGGGAGCAGGAGAATGGAGCTTAGTTGATGATTACCAGCATGTGCTATGATAGCTATTACTGAAAACAGTAGAAAAAATAACCAACAGGAGAAGATACTTTACTGCCTGTGAACTGTCTGCTTCTTTTTCCAGAGACTTAATATTTTTAGTAATGAGCGCATGAAAACATCAAATTTATTTCTAGCCTGCAATCACATTTACTAAAACTGCTGTACAGACTACAGATAAAGTAGAGAAGCAGAGATATTGAAGGGATCATCTCTGTTGGGAGAAAAAAAAAGGAAAAAAGAAAGTTGATCTGAAGCTCTGGTGATGTGTTTTTTGGTTTTTTTTTGTTGTTTTTTTTTTGTTTTTTTTGTGTGTGTGTGTGTGTGTTTTCTGTTTTTTTTAAAGAAAGAAGTACTTCTCATAAATTAGGGCATCATTCCTGGAGGATGTGCAGATAGGAGCAGAAGCAGCAGTGCACTTATTAATTAGGTTTTTCTGCTGCATCATACTTTACTGAGAGTGACTGAGCAGCTTTCCAGAATTGATCCAGAGTATTCTTATCAAGTTATAATCAGCCACCATCTGTAGCTGCCGACCCCAAATGCCAGTTTGCTTTGCTTACCTCCACATTTTCTGATATACTAATCTATTGAATTTGGCACATTGGAAAACAAAACAGTGTGTTCTGGGAGCAGTAGAATACAAGATACCTAATTTGCTGAAGATTTCTTTCCTTTGTCTCTCAAATCCCTCTTCCACCTCAGCCTCAGTTGTTCCCAGCTTCTGCTAAGTGCTGATCCCTGTGGGATGTTCAGATAACATGTGCTATCTGATTAATACAGAGCTTTGTGACTGGCATGTTCTGGTATAGCTGGCCAATACATACTCGCTGATCAGTCAACCTGCTGGCAAATTAAAGAGCTACATTCTCTCTAATGAACTTTATTTATAAATAAATACCATTCAGGTTTCTTCAACATATAAAATGCATTGCAACCTTCATAAGCTTTTACGTACTTAATCTTTCCAGAAATAAAGCAGGTAAGCTTAACTGTATTTAAAATAATTGAAAAATTGAAAGCACCTGCAGAAAATAGGTGAACAATAGCTGCTGTTGGTAAAGACTGGAAGCAGTAGAGCTTTCCCTATGAGAGATCTTTTCAGCACAAAGCATTTGCTCACAGGTTCCTTCCTTGCAGGCAGTTTCAGTCTGGCTGTACGATCAGACGAAGGCAGTAAATAGGATGAGTAGTTTTCCCTTCAGAATTAGACTCTTTGCTAAAGCAGAACTGATCAGAACTCACTCACACCCATGGCTTTGCAAGTCATATCATCAGCACATCCTACAGCACAGACACATACTGCCAAAGGGATCTTCCTGGCCTTCGTAGTGTACTTGTGTCAAGGGCGAAAGTGAACACAAGAAACGCAGGATGCAACCTCAGTATGGTAGTATTGGTATATCGGATAGCACTAGCCTTCCTGCGACTCCTATTAGCTCCTTCAATTGGCAAGGTGAAAAAATAAAACTTAAAGTTGATGTTTTCATTAAGTAACTTTTATTTTCATTTCTCTCTAAACGTATTTCTTTTCCAGTGAAATGTATATGGCAGTAGAAGAACTGTAACTTAATCATAGGATCTTGACACACCCATGACCTTACATTCGTTACGCAAGTGAATTTCACAGTTGAATTATTCCTCGTGTTTCATCCATTAATCTGTGGAGCCCAATGGTATGAATAGAACATGGACAGACCTGAGTGGAGTTGGCACTGTATGTTGATGCCTCCTTTGAGATAAATAATGATCTTTTTTTGGCATGTTTACTGTCTGGTTAGCTCTTGGTGCATTCCTATAAATAAGGTATTTGAATACTTCTTTTTTTAAGCTGTAATTTTTTTAGATGTTCAGCAATAAACATTTTCTGCCAGCTGTATGCTTTCAGGAGCTCGGCTTCAATTTCCCACAGGTATCTCTTTTCCTCCCACTGGAGCATAACGCTTTAAAGTCTCACTGTAAAGTCTTACTGTCTTGTCTTACTGTTTAAGTTCTCCTTAGATTTTTGATGGTGGGTGTCTCTTTGTCCTTCTTGTTTGTGTTTAAATTTTTCTGTGTATTTCACTATAATAGTTCCAGAAATTTCCATGAAAAAAATTACACTGTAAGGGACAAAAAAAAATTACGGAACAAAAAAATTACACTGTACTCTACTTACGCTGTAGGGAACCTGCTTTGGCAGGGGGGTTGGACACAATGATCTCTGGATGTCCCTTCCAACCCCTACAATTCTGTGATTCTGTGATACACTGGGCTGATACAATTTGTACATGGTTGCGCTTATTGACAAGTAAAACCTGATTTCTTGCAAGCTTTTCAAACTGAAAGAGCAATTGCTTCATCTGTTTAAAGTAATGGGCATGTTATTTGTTGTTTGGGTGTAACTTAACTCATGCAAACACTGAACTTTTAGCACAGCAGTGGATTATACGTAGGGTGTAGTAATCCTTTCCCCCTTCAGAGAGAGACAGGAAGATATATTTGGGAATCCGAAGAATAAATTCTGTGACATAGGAATGTGTGGTTACTTGTGCTTGATGTGACATAGCAAAAGCAGTTGAAGCAGACAACTGTTTCCAATAAAAATTGCTATTTTGTGTGATAATATTTCCTAAGAGGGCATTGATTTCCTCTATCAAAAGCTGCAAATAAATGGGTTGCAAATGTCTTTGACAATATGTAAGTAATTAATATTTGCTGTGGTGAAATATAAGCAATATTAGAGGTGTATGTATTAGGCCATCTGAACGGGGAAAAAGCAAAGGCTGAGTCCAAAATACAACCGAGGTGGGGAATGAGAGCCAGAGACAGTGGGAACAGGAAGTCTGATGGTGTTTGTTAGAGGCTATCTGGTCTTTGTGGCATGTAAAGCTGCCAGCTGCCAGTTCCACCTGGCAGATAGAATTAAATGCCTTCTTCTAGGCAGCAGTAGCAGTAACTTCCAACAAGTTGGGTATCTTGTAGGTGTGGTGGCCATGGTTGTGTTTCCTCTAGATAACGAAGAAAGACTTTGCTGTAAAAGTACACCGTCATCCTCAATGAAAAGTCTTCTGTTTCACAGGTGCATAGTATCAGTTGTACTGAAAGTTTTTTATTCACTATTAGTAATTCTTGTTACACCGTATGTGGCCCTTTATGCTGTTTGATGGTGTGAATTCCTTTTGAGGGAGCCCATCTTCTTGTGTGTTTGTATAGTTCTTAGCTTCTACAGAAATACCAATGAGAAACAACTCAGTGGAGTAATGGCAGAATCTGGCCTGTGGCATTGATTATCTTCTTCCTACATGAAATTTGTTAGTGTAGCTCCCGTAGTGGCTCTATGTGGCTCTATGATTGTGTCACAAAGAGTTGAATCATGCCAGCTCTAACCGGTAAACCTTACTGATTTATATCTGTGAAGTCTCTGGCCATAAGCTTGTAGCCTTCAAGTCATGTTAGCTGTTTTGGAACGTACTCTCCTGTGGAATCTTACAAGAAAACTGCCATTAAATCTTCCTTTAGTGTAAAAATGTCAATTTTCTATTATGCTTTTTCGTCAAAGTTTTTGTTTGTTTCTTTAATGCAAATTCAGTTACCTGTTCATAGTAGAATTTCCACTGACTTCTGTTTGGGAAGTCAAGCTTTAGATTTCTGATATTAGCTAATAAGTTGCTGTACAATCTGTGCCATTATCTGTTACTGGTAGGTGGAAGGCAATGCTGTAAAAACCCAATTACGCTGCTCTGTGAGATTTAAATGCAGATATGCAGGAAGATGGTAATATGAACCTACAACACCTATCACAAAACATCAACTGAACTAGTCAAGTGTTAAGTCTGATGCTGAAAAGAAGATATCTTATTTCAAGAACTTGTTTATTTTACTCATGACTGGGTAATAAAATGACATGAATGGTAATTCAGAAAAACAGCCCTGTGAACCTTTAATACTGGGTATGCTTGTACAATTGGAGCTATATAATTTTTTAATGTAAACATATTTGGACTTTGGCATGAAACGGGGTGGATGAGGAAGCCATGAAAGAGTAGGCAAGGAAGGGCAATGAGAGCAGAATTAGGGAATTTTATTTGCTGCAGTTAAGGGGATGAATATGAACTGACTAGTTCAATTTGCTCAAACCCATGTCAACTCCAAATATGTTTTGCTAAATGGTTTTAATTGTTCATAATTACATTTTTATAAAGTTTGATATGTGGGTATCACGAATACACAGTAGTAAACAGTTCTTAACTCCAATAACTTACTTTGCACAGGAAGAACAGGTAGTAAAAATGAAGAAAAGATGTAAAACACACGTGTACCCAAGATTAGTGTGATGTCAGCTGAAATGGTGTATCCATTGGCATCTTGTGGTGAGAGTTAGTGGTTGTTTGAAAATGGAAAATATTGGGATATTCAAAGGAGTGTTGGGACCACTGAAAATATTGGTATCCGACATGCTTATGGTCAGTGAAGCTGAGGAGATTGATTAGATTGATGGCCCTGTACTTTATTAATCCAAAACTATTAAAATACAGTTAATGTTCTGTTTGACAAGTAGATCCATCAGACTTGTTGATATGGCTATAGGATGTTGCTCTGACAAAAAGATGACAGGTGTTTTTCTTTCTCTTTCAGAAGTATTTTTTCTGTAATTTCATCTCACAAAATAGAGCAGCCTACAGGTGATGGATAGCCTCGCAAACAGCTGAGTTCATGTTTTGAACCCCTATTTATGCAGGTGTTCCTCCTGCAGCATCCAAATGTAGACCAGCTGGGGCTTCTTCATAGTAGGCTTCCATTTCCACTTGAGTTACCGAGAACAAAAGGATAGACCTTAATGCACTGGCAGAAATGTGCTGAGGTATCACAAGGGGGAAGAAGACCTGTGATCACAGCCTCTGTGAAGGCAGATAAGTTTTTGAAATGTTATTTATAAGAGAAGGGAAATTGCTTGCATCCTATCTCCACCTGGAAGATCATTGTCCAGACCCATGGGGAGAAACTACGCAGTGGCCAAGTGAAACCACAGATTCCTTTGCTTGCCTCAAATGTCTTCTTGCAGACAGATCTGCCCACTTCTAGCTTTGCATCATCTCAGGATCCTGTAGTCAAAGTGGGATCTCTTAAGCCATAGCAAATCTCAAACCCTGCCTTCAGTGATCAGGAACTTATTATGGAAGTATCTCTCCTGCAACCTCTGTGTTTTCCTTCAGTCCAGCCTACTCCAGACTCCTGCACCAATCTTCCCCTGCCCTCTAGCCTGAGTTTTAAAAGATTTTCTGTTAATACAGAACATGGTTACCCATCTGCTAATAAGCAGACTAAAGTTGGTTGTTGGGGCTTCAGTGAATCAGCCAACCTCACAGCAAACTTGGCTGGCTGATCCATATCCAATACAGATAAATTGTACTACACCTAGCAGTATCAGCCACCTTTTATTTTCCTGTTCAGTGAGTGAGAGCTTGCTGTTGCAGAAACATTGTATGGGTACTGGCAAGTAACAGTGCATTTCCAACAACTTCTAGTTGTGTGACAGGAGCAGCAGTGTCTCTGTTGGGAGAACCCAGTGAATGTGCAGTGTTGGTTCTGACACTCCTTCCTATTTCAGATTGTTGATAAGCTTTTCCTCTTAAATCTTCATAGGTTTTTAAATTAACAGTGAAGTATTTCTTTTGACCAATAGATAAATAAATGTCCCAAGGTTTATCTGAGAATGTTTCCCAAGACTGAAATAAGAAAATAAGGTAGCAAGTGAACTGTTTTCCAAGATCTGTGAACTGTATGAGCAACTTGGCCTGACTGCAAGGCTGGCATTTCTGGTCACCCCTATGACCATGAGAAATTGGATATTTAGTGGGGTTTGCCAGTGGGAAAATGGAAACTGTGAGGAGTAGGAAAGTATATTTACTTTAAATTTGCACTGAATTGTCTGACTTGGTCTAAGGAAGATTTATTATTTTGTTTAAGTATTGTGGGTGGCTTTTAAGAGTTCACCAGTTCATACAACATTGTAAGGTGATTTTTAAGTCATGCTATCTAGGAAGTAAAATCCATTTTACTTACCATGCTATCTGGTAAGTAAATTACATAACAAAGGAATACACAGCAAATGATAGTTAAGAAAATATTTTGTATTTATATACATACATATATCACAAGTTTTATTTATAATGCTAAGTTTATTCGCCCAAGGGTAAAGCTATGCATTTTTATTTGTATACTGTGCTCATTTACAGTGTCTGTGGGTGATGAAAATAGAATACACAATGTACAGAAAATGACCTTGGAATACAGCTGCATATTTAAGTGTGTAATAGGACAGCTTTCTTTCTCAAGCACAGCAGTGAAACTTCTGACAGTGAGATAAGATAATAGGATTTGGTATACCAAACCAGCTCTGTTGTCTACATAATCTAGACGTGCTGATAAACTTCTGCTTAAGAAGCCAAAAGACAAACATCAGAGCGGGTGACACACAGAGGCAGCTGCTAAAGTCTACACGTGGGGAACATTTCTTTCTAATCTTTGTATGTGATCAGGTTATGCCCTGACATGGGACCCTGGAGTGCTCATGTTACCCTCAGCTGGCTCAGCAGTGAGTGCTTTTGAGTTGCCAACTCATCATCCATCTCCTCACAAAACTTTGCAGTCCATGTGTTGCATGCTCATGCTGTAGGAAATGCAATCTTGCTATTTTAAATTAAATCCCTCTGTGTTAGATTGAGTTGTTTTAGTTTGAAAGGTGAATCATTACTTCTAATTCCACAAAGCAGAAGCTTGATTTCATTAGGAACTTCTTAATTTTCTGGAACTGTAGCTTTTTTTTTTTTCTCCAGCTAGAGAATTCTACCTTAATTATTCTGTACTGATGGAAAAACTTGGTATTACACTGGCTTTATTTTTGGCCTTTTCCCCTTCTGAACGTTTACTAACTTTAAGCTGAAAGAGGAGTCTGAATGCCTTCGAGAAGCTTGTAATATTGATAGAGAAACATCACAGTAGGGAGAGACAATTAGATGTTCAAAACCAAAGACAAACTTCCTCCTGTATCTAATATAATTTGCATACATTATTGTATTACTTATTTTTAGTTCCACACAATACTATTTTTTTCTGGTTTAGATGTGCTGTTAGGTTACTATTTTATACTAATGAGAGACAAATAATAATGATGTTTTGCTTTGTTTTGGGATTAGAGGATGAGCAGGCTGGGAATTCTGAATTAAGAATCGTATTGTAGATTGACACAATGACTTCTGAAGTTTCCAGCTCAAATTTTTCTATTTGAGAAGACAGACAAGATCAAACCAGTGGCAGCAGCCTTGGAGGACAAAGAAGATGAACAGTAGTTGTCCAGTGCTAATACCAAGCTGATTTGCTGGAAGGGTAATTCTAAGTGTAGCTCTTTTACCCAGGGAGGCAATACCTGCACACTGCACAGCAGGCAGCAGTGGCCGTTCATGTCTCAGATACTGCTTGTGTAGAGCATCGCAGAGCAGAACTGTGTGCTACACGTGCAGATGGACTGAAAGATGTGAAAAAGGGCCAACTTCAACAACTTCGTGGACACGTGGACACAATTTTTTGTGTGACTAAAAGGTAGCCCAGTAAAATACAAATGTTGTTACATCCATACTTCTGTTAAACAATAGATTTTGCTCCTTTTATGAAGTATATGGCTTATCAATGTGTACATTTAATAGAAAGATGGTTTTGCACCTTTTTTCCTCACTTATCACTTCTTTCCATACTTTCAGCTCACTTTCCCAAAGGCTGGCTAAGACAGAAACATGGTAAATGTAAATAATAAACATGTGCAAGATGTTATTGGGCAGAGGAGGAAACTTCATTGGCCAGAGATCCTCCAGCTAACCCAAACAGGTATGTTTGAAAGATGTGGGAGAGTGAATCGTGATCATTCTGCTTTTAGCCCAGAGCCTGGCCTACTCAGGGCACTTCAGATGACTGTGTCCAGCAGGGTGGCTGACCATAACCTAAATAAGGTGACCAGAGGCATTATTAACATTGGGCTGCTAAGCAAATGTGTTGATCTGTGTTCCCAGAGATTCTCAGCTTTTGTAGCTAAGCAGGAACAGGCAGGTGGTTTAGTTTCTCAGTTCAGAAGCACAATTCTTGGTGAGGATTTCAGCAGGTTTTCTTTTAGGAGAGAGAACCCGTAGCAGACTGCACCTCATCTTTATCATCCCAACACTTACATTAGCTATGTTTATATGCTGCACCTTTTATTTGCCTACTATCTTGTTTGCATTTTTAATTGCCGTTGTGCTACTGGGTTAGAAGAAGGAATTTCTGGGAAAGGTTGTACAATCAGTCTTGCACAGAGGTTGCAGTAATGTGATCACTGATGCAATCATTTGGGCACGGATCTTTTCTGAGCTTCTTGAGTTTTTTTTCCTATTGAAGGTACCGAACAGATTGCTGTGTATGTTGTGACACACTGGTGTTTAGGAGAATGTACAGTCCCCATAGTATTGGATTAGGATAGACTTTCTGAAGTGTTGTGTGGTTGCAACACCCGTGCAAAGGAGTAGCATTAGGAAGAGTATTATTGCAGCAAGAGGGTGATTTGGGGCTGCTCAGACCTGTAACAGCAGTCTGTAGGCAGTGCTCAGAGGGCTGCTATAAATCCTAATGGTTCCTAGCTGCCTGCCAGTGTAACCAGGCACCAGAGAGTGAACTGCAAAAATAAAGCAGATACACAAGGGAATGTGGGAAATCTATAGAAGATGCTTGTCATAGAAAATCAGTGCCTACATACCTACAGTATCTCTGCACACTCAGCTACTGAATTTAAAATGTTTTGGGTTTTTTTTTGTGAAACTATACCAATGATGGGCAGTATCGTAGTTTAATGTTTTGAATGAATAGAAAGGTTTTAGTCAGATCTGTTGCTTGCATGGGAATGAACGCTGAAGTTCTTTTGAGGTGATGCTTAGCTTTGGGAGTCTTTTTGACCAGAAGGTCTGGGGGTCTGGCACATGAAGAAATGGCATAAAGATGCAGCCACAAGTAGAGTTCAGCATTTCTCAGGCTTAGCAACTCAGCATTGATGACTGTGTGTGTATAAATGAGCTTAGCACAGTTCCCGAGGTAATGAGCTCTGACTTGCTGCCACACAATACCAAGGGTGCAGAGCAGCACTAATGCAGTTTTGCTGTTCTGTGCCTGGGAACTGGCTCATCGATCTC